AAGCTATATTTTCTTTCATAAAGGTACATTAACCTCATTGACAACATTTGCTAATAGTGTTGCAAGAAATATGGATAGATTAGCTATGGATTCTGAACATGCAACACGTAATGAAGAAACATGTCGAAATATTCCAACTGGAATGACCGATGGTCTTTTACAAGGTCTTGAATTATTTAGTTTAAGTTTATTAGGTGCTATAGCTGGTTTAGCTGAACAACCATTAGCTTCATTTCGTAATAGACCTGAAACTCAACGTGCAACAACAACTGTTTTATCCGGTGTTGGTAAAGGTCTTGTTGGTATTGTTGTGAAACCAGTTGGTGGTGTTGCACAACTTATTTCTCAAACAGGTCAAGGTATTCTTTATGGCACGGGTTTAATGAATATTCCACATAGGCGACATAGACAATTAGAACAAGATGCACGAATAAATACAAATATAAGTTATCTTAAACTTTTTCAGTCTTGTCAAATAACAAATCAAGATGAAATACTTGATATATTAGAATATGTTCTTGAACATCATCATATTGAACATGGAATATTAATATTAACTAAAAATCGACATTTTATTGTTTATCATAAAGATGATGAAAATCAACATGGTGATTATTTATTAGATCATATTGAATTAAGTGAATCACCTGATTCATCAGGTTTATTAATATTTAATAATTTATCATTTTATGTTGATTCACGTTTTCGTCATCAATTTCTTGCACTATGTCGTCTTATTCGTCAATGAATTTTGTTTTTTCTTTTTTTTTTTGAAATCTAACATTCAAGTATTGAACTGTGATTTGTTTTCTCTTCTTTTTCTTTCTTTCTTTGTTTCGTCTTGTTATAGCTTACATATCTTTTTTCTTTTTTCATTGTTAGTTAATTCTTTCTTATTATTTATTATTTCTGTTGAGGTTTTTCTCCATTTTTAATCGACTCATAAAATATGTATACATATATATATATGCAGAACAGTGGTCATATTTCGATCAATTTTAAATAATTCAATTGAAATACTTAGCATAAACATAAGGCTTTTGCGTTGTTGTATAAAATATGTTTACGATATCATACGATTCGATGAAAACTATTGAAGCTTATTTAGACTTACAATGAAACATATGGTGCATAGAGATATATTTTAATATATATTAAAATAAGTCGAATGTAATAAATGTTGCTTTTTCTTTTAATAACCAATCGAGTTTTGATTTTTTTTTTCATTCAAGAAAAGAATTTTACTCAAGTAAAATTTCGAAATATTTTGTTTAATGATATCTTACGATTCCTAAAATTTTATTAGACATGGCATCGAGATACTTTAAGAAATAACTTTCATTAATACACTGTTAAAGAAAGATTTTTTTTCAACAAATAAAAACAAAATAATTGTTTGCCTCAGATTAATAAAACAAAAATATACACATTAAATAAAAAGTTAAAGATCGAATATAAACGATCAAATGATTAAAAACTTCTTTAATGTTATTCAAAAATAAACTATCTGAAATTTGATTGACATATACTGATATGTAACTATTGGACATATTTGCATTGTAATCATGTTATTATTTGTTCTGACTCATCAATGATTCGTTTGCGTTTATCTTGTTTCTTCCGTGGTTTCATATATCAGAGTTTTCAATTTATATGAATATATTTTTGAGTGCGCTGATAAGTAATCATATGGCACAACACGTGCACAAAACGAAAAAAAACTTTTTTCTTGCAATTATCGGATATACATATATCAGGGCGGCCATATGTATCCCATTTTGGGGTACAATATCCCATTTTGTCTTTTCGTACCTCAGAAAAATTTGTACCCCTGGGGTATATATTTTGTACCCCATTTGGGTTTTTGAGTTTTTCTTGGCATAAATTGGTGTTTTTATTTAAATGGACTATGTTTTTGAATACAACTTGTGTCATTTTTGCATGAAGAATTATAGTGAAGAGTATTATTAATGAGTTGATCAAGGAATATAAACACTCCTTTTTTTTTCGTCTACTTTTGCCTTGACCTTTTCTAGTTCTCGTGCTTATTTTCACTCCCGAAATCGAAACTATGTTCGATAAGCAGTTTGGTTTTTCTCTTTATTTTACTATTTTTTCTATCATATTTGACCGACACATACTATTTATAAAGTTAGTTTAGGTTTGAGCTTTTATCGAATAGATGATAATATTAACTTTTCTTCAGAATTTGCCAAAGAAGATCAGATACAAACATTAAAGAGCCTGATCAACAAGCAATAGCGATAATTGAAGAATCTAGTACTACTATTAAAAACTTGACTACAATTAATAAAGAAAAAACTTTATCAACAAAGTCAAGGACATTATAGTCGCAATAGAAAATGAGTAAGAAGTCCAAAAAATGCAATGCTTCTTCAGAAATATAAAGCTGATTCGTTCCTTCAGTTGCGTTTTAGCTGTAAATCAGATTTCTCAATCACTTATGGAGAAAAATATTTGACTAACTGGCATGTCAACTAAGACACGCAGTTAGACTAAATCGATAAAAATACATGTTTTAACGCGTTAAAATGTGCGCTTTTTAACGATTTCAAAAAACTTTTTGGAATAAAAAAGAGATTTGAAGATGATATTTTCTATAAGCTGAATTTTACTTCGAAAACAAGTGTTTTTTAGCATAACAAGCGCACATTTTAACGTCTTTCTGTGCCTTACAATGAACCCTTATCTATCTGGGTAGTGATAAGTATATAACCGAAGCTGAAGTTGACTGAAGAAAAATGTACTGTTTCCTCAGTAGAGTTGTTTTTAAAATTATGATCTAACTATGAAAGTATTTTTGTGAACAACATGAACAGTAAAGCCAATTTCTGATAGAGGAAAGTTTAATATAATATTATCTTCTTGGAAAGAAATTTTTCGTAGTAGTTTGTCAGTTACTCAGTCTATTTTAAAAGAAAAAGTGCGTACCTCAATGAGGTACCCCATTTTGAAAGAAATTGTACCCCAACTGTACCCCATTCGTAATTCGAAAAACCCCATTTGAGAATTCAGATATGGCAGTCCTGACATATATAAACTTTATATTTCAACAATTCAAAATATCAAACTGATTATAATTGATTGTAACAATCAAATGCAAAAAATATGAGTATTAAATTGTATAGATCTAAAATAATGACCAAAATCAATTAGAATTCAATATTTTCTATGATGTAAATTTGTTAAGAAATTATCTTATCGCAAATTGTTGGTATATCCTTCAAAGAAAATAGAAAAAGAATTTTTTTATATTCTTGTTTGAAAACAATAGACGCAATAGACTCCTCGAAATAATATTATCTATTTTCGTCAACATGTAAATGAAATTGTGTTCTTTAGAACATATGATTATTCTTCGACATTTAAAAAAAATGCAATTCGAACTGCTCTCTTGTACTTTGACCTACTTAAACATAACAGTTCGTAACCTCTTATTTTTACCTAATTTTGACTTGTAACAAATTTTATCTTAAGTAAATATGATTTATACTTGTTTCACCGAACCTATCATCATCAAGCTTGCATGAGAAGAATCTTTTGCAATAAATAGATCCAACAGTTACACTTAAAAATACTTTTTAGTACTGAAACTAACACGCGATATAGATATCTTCACAAAATTGTCAAACTCTACTAGGCCATATTGCGAATTTCGAATTTAATCAAGTTCTTTTTTTGTTGGAAAAACAATATATGAACTACAGATGATCAACAAAACATATTGTTTCCAAACGAATCTAAAATATGTTTAAAGCCAAAAAAGTAAATATCTCTAAAGAAATTTTTTTGCAATTTTGATAAATTTGTATTTGTTAATTATTTCAAATTACATAATTTTTATCAACAGTAACTTTGTTAGTGGAATATTTTATATAGACTTTTGAGTAGAGATGTGCGGAATTAACGAGGAATCTTATCAGAAGCTTTCTTTCGGTTATAATGATTCTTTGTCTATAGATACTACATACTGTTCTAATTAAAACGTCCTAAAAGGGTTTGGATTTAACTAAGCTATCGAATTTTTTCTAGAGATCCTTGTTTATCGAAAACTTTGTGCATATAGAACACTCAGTTAAACTAACTTCCATAAAAAGTGCAGAAGTTGTAAACGTAGTCTCTTCGAAATATTCACGATATGGATCCTTTTCCATGGATCATGTATACAAGATGCAATTTTTGAAAGCTTCATATCTCGAAGAGACTATGTGTAAAACTTCTGAATTTTTTATAGAAGTTAATCTAATTGAGTTCTCTATATGCACAAAGTTTCAAATTAACATTTGAAAATACGAGTATCTCGAAAACTCGATAGCTTAACCAAATCCTATTAGTCTTTTTACTAGAACACTATGTAGTATCTATAGTCAAAAAGATTATGGAAATCGGAAGGAGGCAGCTGAAGAGGTTTCAACGGAAGTCTTTTAATCCCTGTCTTAGTCTGGTTCCGATAGCTTCTTTCTATGTGGTCTCGATGATTTCAATTTTAGTACCGGAACTACAACTGATCTCGTACAATTCTAATCTTGACTTTTTAATAAAAAAAACTTGTTCATACAATAGATTCCATTGCAATAATATCAGTTGCAATTTCTAGAAATCACACATGAACTCAATTCTTGTTCCGTTGTTTTTTCAAAATACATCAGAAAAAAGTAACACAAAAAAATCCAAAGAGCTTTTTTGCAAAACCACCGAGTAGTATACAATAGCAAATGATTCAATCTCGTTCGTAAAAAGAAACATTTTCGTATAAAAACTAAGAATAAATTTAATCGTCAATACACCATTTGGAAAGAGCAATTTGTATACCGCACACATCAACATTAAAATATCTTTGTTCCACTTTCTACTAATACAACAAAATTTTAGAGATATTTTCTCTTAATGCTCTATCACATTCATTATGANGGTAAATATCTATTTTTAAAAAAATCAAATCAAATGAAATAATAATTATTATTATTATTGAAGATAAATCATTTAACATACGCTTTAATAACTCGACCAATTTTATCATCAATATATTCTTGTTCATATAATTTCATACATTCTTTCTGAATTGTTTCAAGATGATTTTCATTGATTAAAAATTTTAACAACTAAAACAGTAATATTAAAAATTTAAAATGGTATATTGCCAGGCAATTCGTATCTCTCTTTGCAGTTTCTGAAGAACGAGGCAAACCTTAAGAGTAGACAGATCTCGGTGAGTAGAACAAAAGTTGTTACAGGCTTTATTGAACTGAAATTTTTTTGTTCGTTCACACTAGATACTGTTTGGAGTGTCTACTTTTTATCTTCTTCCTTTCGAATAGAAAAATCAAAATATTTAACGTACTACCAAAAGATACATGTTTTTTTTTTACTAGAACTTTCTTTGTAAAAATCTGCCAATGATCAACCGTGCAATATTTACCTTAACAAAAAAAGTGGGCACTATAAATAGTGTCCAGCATCGGTTAGAGGAAAGTTTCAGCTCGATCAAACATACTATGTTGAAGAAATCGGTGCAATTTCGAGTGCTAGATTTTATAGAGGCGCCAATTAATAACGAACAGTCTTCATTTATATGATATGTGACAGAGGACACTTCGAAACTATATTAGGAATGAAAAACATAAAATCTAAAAAATCTTTGATTTTAACATTCGAATGAGATGGAGGAATACTCATAACACAGATAACACTGTGTAGATTTAGTTTACTCATATAAATGATTTTTAAGATCAAAAGCTGAATAAAATTCTTTATTTTTTGCAAGATTTGCCTCTTGTTTGTCTATTAAAAGCAGTGATCAAGTGTTCTAATTATTCATTCATGTATTCATAAGTAGCACGGGTATTTTCCTTTCGTTATTCCGGATTATAATCTCTCAGCTACAATCAAATTTGAAGAACTTGGCTTTCGTAAATCATCTATTAGAAGTTTTCATATAGAACATCATGCAAATTTGATTATGAGTGAGATATAATAATTTGGAATATCGAAGGACGAAAATAAGTGCTAATTATGAACGCATATATGACTAATTAAAACATTGTATAATTGCTTTTGATCTTAATAATCATTTGCATGAGTGAACTGAATTTTAAAGCGTATTCTGTGTTAGACTGAAGTAGTCTGTAATTAAATGAAACATTCGAACGTTTTGGATTTACATAGGATACAGAATCAATCAGAAGACTTTTTTCTGAATGAACAGAAGAATGTGATAAATTTCCCAATTATCAAAATATAAGACATATGATTATGGACAGTTTTCTTTTTTCAATAGATTTAATCATTTTTGAAGCAAAATCTGTTTCAGAAAGCCATTTTATCTTTACTTGATCAGTTTAAGTATAAATACTTCACTTTTATAGGTAAAGTAGAGCACTTAACTATTCTTAACCTTGAAAAGCAAAAATTATTAGAAGAATTTTTTCTCGAGTTGTACCACTTGACAGCAAAAACTTATCATAGCATTAAAAAAAAAAACAAATCGAAATTCTTTCAAAATCCATTTTTGTCAGAAAATTAAACATTAAACAGATCACTTTTCAAATTTCTAGAATATTCACTTAATCCAACCATTTTACAAATAATTAGCCTAAGTAACAGATAATCCATAAAAGCAATAAAATAATCACTTCTTAATTTATTATCTTCAGCTAGTCTTCATCTAGAAGCACGCTCGATGTAGTAAACAATCAAATTCATCACTTAACACTATCGGTCGATCAGCTCCTAACTCAAAGCTCAGATCAAATGCTCGAAAGAACTATTCGAAAATATCATATGATTTGTCCAAAGAGTTCCTCTAATAGGCGCTAAGTTGTTCGAAAAATTTTGTGCTATTTTGGGAACGGCAAAACAAAGGTTTTTGTACCCAAAAACAGAATAAAGGTCTTTTATACCCGAAAGTGAAATTTCCAAAACGGAACAACAAGTTTTTTGTACCCAAAAGTGCTGCTCTCAAAATAGAGCAAAGATTTTTATATACCCGGAAGCATTTTTCTCAAAAATAGAACAACAATTGTTCGAACAGATTAGAGAATATTGTCAATAGATCCTCAAATCCGAACTAGAATTGAATTTGTCGGCTTCTATTTTGCACCAACTAAAACCTAATCCGTCGTATCTTTTCTGATTGTGTCTTCTTAACGCTTATCTTTTTATTGCGATCTTTCATATTCTATTCTATTCTTTTATTATATACTTGATGCATTCGATTTAATTGAACAGAATTAATAAAACCACGTAATAGTTTTAATCCAACTGTATCAAGTTGAAAAAAGATAAGATAAATAATAACTACAAAAAAAGACATAAATTATTTCATATACATATATTTTCAACTGATTTTACAAACTTTTAAAAATATTATGTTCTGATCTTCGAATATGAATGCCATCTGTAGCATAAAAAATATTGGTTATGGTTTTAAGTAGTGTTGAATGTCGTATACAATCAAATAATATTGTTGATACGAATGTTTCATTCGGAACCTTGAAAAATAAATCGTATAATACGAATAAACTACTTATAAGTTAATTAAATACTTCATTTTCTTGAAAATAATGTTCTAAAAATGTTTCTTCGGATATATTATTATCATATTCATTTAATACTTGTACACAATGATAAAATAGTTCACTGTATGCATTGGCATTTCTGTCCATTTCAAATGAAAAATTAATTGAATGAAACAACCATTAGTAATATACGTACCATGACAACCAATGGAATTTTTAGAAACAAAAATTATTTTATATTTTAAATAATTATTTCAATGATTCTTTTTTACTTTAATTTAAAATAAAAAATAAAAAAAAAAAAAACATTAAATTTGTAAATGAATTTTTTTCATTAGTTAATCTCTTGTCAAATAGAACCAATGATTAATTTGTCAATCATTCATTCTTCTTTTGCTTTCTTCGTTCTGTTTATTCACATCCTAAATAGCTCTTTCATTTCCTTATTCTATTGATCTTAATCAAGGTCGAATGTATATCCAAATCTTTTTAGTTTTATTTTCTCAAAGTAATATATTTTGTTAAGATTTTCTTTTCAATATATTATTTTCTTTTCAAATTATAGTTTTAATCTCATTTACATATAAAACAAGTCCTACGCCATGGTTTTGTACAGATCCAAATGCATTAGATTCAAGTGTTGAAATAGCTCGAAAACTTCCATCATGTTTACCAGGTTATGCTATTGATATAGAAGATGTTGTTTATGAATCAACAATTGATGGTTCATGTTCTGGTAGAAGTTTATGTAGTTCAAATAATAAAAATGCTCTTACATTTGCATGTAACCATAAACAAACATGTAATGTTGATATACGAAATTTTCGTTTTCATATTAATAAAACATGTGGTTCGACAGTAAGATTTTTTACGAAATATCGTTGTTTACCTGTTATACATGAACAAAAAGATTATTTATGTGAATCATCAACACGTCGATCAAATTTAGCTGATATTAATTTATCATGTGAAAGATATTATCGTCTTCATATAACATTGGCATTAATTGGAATTAGTGTTAGACCAAGAGATGATCTTAACAAAAGTCGTTTTAAATGTAATAAAAATACATATTGGCTTTGTAATCATTATATACCTGATGCTTATCGAAGTGTTTGTAATAGTCAATTAAGTTATGGTAGTGGTGAGCATTGTAAAATTCGACATAGTGATCGGCCAAGATTAAAAGGATGTGAATATGGAGAAGTATCAAATTTCTCCATAGTGGAATATTCATGTATACCAGGTAATTTTATAGGAAAAGCAAAGAAAAAAGGGATAATTTGATGGATGCAAGGAAGAAAAAAATACCCTTGCATTTCGATTACCTTGCATAAAGAGGCACTGTCTAGTGACTGATTCAATAGCTCAATATCTTCCATACAACTAATATTAATTGTAGCTCTGAACAAAAAGTCAGTTTGATGTTGAGTTCTTGTTCTCCATTGCTTCAGCTCGTCGTATACAGTAACTAATCACAACAATAGGTATATAAGACATTATATAGTAATTTTGATTTTATTAAAGAATAAGTCGTAGTTACAATGAAAAATCAACGAATACATTCTGGACAGAAAGGCAATGTTACTTATACTATATCTTAGGACTAAATGTTGGATATCTAAGTTCTAATTAAATTTCTATTTATCATAGATAGAAATGTCAGATATTTCTCGTTGTAGAAGTCAATGGTTATTATCGATCAATTATTAAAAAAAAAACTCGATAATTATAGTAACATGATACAAAAATCTTTTTATGAGAAATTGACACTAAAAAAAAACAAGAAATATCACAAAATTTGTTTTACAAGGTTATAATATTTTTGAAACTCTATTAAACATATAAAAGACAACAGACATAAGAATTTCATTCTACAATTTGAAAACATTTATCTATGAAAAATTATTGTTTTATTTAGGCGAAGGTATAATGGAAGATCTTCCTCGAATAGATATTTGTTCAGATAAAATATCTGATCGTATATCTATAAATCGTGGTCTTCTTCATTCTCCTGATTATCCTAATCCAGTAGGAAAATATTTATCATGTTTAAAAAAATTATATGTATCACGTGAATCTCGTTTACGTTTATTTATGCTTGAAAAATCAATTGAATATTATCATGAATTAAATATTCGTTTATTAAATAATGAACCAAATGTACAACGTACATTAGCTAAAAATGAATTATTTGATACAAATATAACAAGTCAACGGCATGATGAAATTGTTGAAATTGAATTAAAAACAAATCATAATGGCGGTGGAAATTTTTTACTTTATTTTCAAGGTAAAACTGTTTTCTTTTTTTTTTTTTGGTGTTATTCTCGAACAGTCGTCATTAACCAACTGTTTCTTGCCTATCATATAATTATCATATATAACAAAAAAAGAAGAAAACGAAATGACTGCTATGTATTTGTCATGTCATTTTTATGATTAATGATCAACACGCATCGATCATTAACGAATACTAATTTATTCTAGTTGATTCACGCATCTCGGAATATGCACCATTGGTTCTTGAAACTGATAGAATATCAAATGATTATAATCGACGAGATAAAACATTGATTAAACGAGATTGGGGTAAGTTAACAAATATTTGTTCATCAAGATATCTTATTTCCGTTTTTCTTTCTAATACAAATCTCTAAAAGATTAGTTTGTGTGTTATATTATTATAAATAACAAATATTATTTATAGTACGAGGCTGATTACTATGAAAGCTATATACAACACAAGATAAATGTTTTTTTTATAATAACGTGATGTAATTATTAATTCTGGTTGACAAAATATGTAAAGAAGAATATAGAATATTCGGTGTTTTGTTTATATTCTTGTGAAAAATTTCTTCAAATATGAAAACAAAACTACAGATAAAGTATCTGAAAATTCATTGCTATCAAAATTCAAAGAATTAGAAAATTTTTATTATTCTATAATTTAATTTGAGTCAATAGTATGCAAAGAAATGTTAACTGTAGATTGTAGAACACAGAGTCAGTGAGTGTACGGTCTTGATTTAATGTATAAAAAAAAAGACTCAATCCTTCAGTGATTTGATCATTTCATGTTATTTTCTAATCGAAAATATATAAGTTTAGTCGGTCAGTTTCAAAAATAATATTATAGAAAATTGATCTGTATCCTTTGAGAATTTTATAACATGAAAAACTTTTCTTTATGACTTATGCTAATGAAAGAAAAAAAGCAATCAGTTATGTTGTTCAAATTCTCAAGAGAGGAAGTCCTTCAATTGATAAATTGCTTTTAAATCAAGAGTATGTGCATTATGTAGACGCAAATGAGTTATTAATATTGTGAAAAGAGTTTGTGCTCTTAACTTATTGTTGCATTTTTACGGTACTTTTTTTTTAATGAATGTCATGATGATAGAAAAAATAATTTTCGAATTTCAACTTGAAACTTTGCATTTGAGAAAGACCTTGGAGGGAATAGTTATTTTGTGAAGGTTTGAAATCTTATAGCTATTCCTGCAAATTTGATGTTCTAATTTCAACACAAAAGCAAATCAAAAGACTTGAAGTTATTCTCGTTAAGAACTGTCTCCATGCAAAGTTTCAAGGCAAAATTAGAGAATTGATTTTTCTGTTATTACGACATTCATTAAAAAAAATATCGTAAAACTGTAGCAATAATCTAGGAGCACGCACTCTTTTCAAAGTATCCATAGCTCATTTGCGTCTACATAATGCACATAATCCTGACTTAATATCGATTTATCAGTTCAAGGATGGCCCTGGTAAGATAATATATTCTTTTTTTTTTCTTATTCGTGTAGGTGTTGCTATTGGTAGTATAATCGGTATTATTCTTGTTTTTCTTCTTATTGCAATTGTTATTGTTATTGTTCAAATTTCAAAGTTAGTCTATTCTTTTATTTCAACTTTATTTAATCAATCGAAATATTGTTTTATTTAAGACGTCGTCGTGCACAAACTCTTAAATATTTAAAATCTGATAATGATCATCATCAACATTTAAATGCATCTGCTTCTTTACATGATCGTCATAATCCTAAAAAAATAATACAAATTGAACATCCACATTTATTATCTACTTCACCGAAAATTATTTCATCATCATCAAATATAATTAATGATAATCCGTCAGATCGTGAAACTCTTCTTAAACGTCCTCCACAAATAAATACAACAAGTACGAATATTGATAATTTTTATGAAGAAATAAAAGATCAACAACAACAACAAGTTAATTTAACTTTAGGGAATATACATGATACAAAACAATATATTGAACCTAAATCATTTGAAGAACGAAAAAAATTTCTTGAGGATAATAAATCTTCACAACCAATTCATGATCATCGTGAGGTATTCTATTATGAATGTGAAGGATAAGCTTTAATTCTATTTTTGCAACAAAAACAAAGCACATGCTTCCTCTTCTTTTTCTTCGCGTTATTCTTTTTATTATTATTATTATTATTATTATTATTTCACTTTGGTATCTTTTTTCCTTTTTATTTTAACATTGACAATTGTGTATAAAAATTCCTTTCCAATATTGTTATTTTGATTATAATTCTAGTCAAATTCTAGTCGTTATATTTAAATATATATTCGTTTTATTGTAAAAACAAAATAAAAATTTACTTAATCATTGCTTTAATTCTATTGCTTTTGCTTATCAATATGCACTGCTTTCATTGTTGTAGTCTTAAATTAAAACAAGAACTCTATTGATGATTTTTCTATAAATATACTTAGACTGAACAACATCCTCATCGAACAGCACCATTGGCTACACCTGAACACATTAAACGACATATAGGAAATACATTATGTGATGCACCAATGGCTAGCACAGAAACTTTAGATGTGGGAATTAATCCAATAAATAGTGAACGTTTGAAACGTCCAACACAAGCACCACCAAAAATTCCACCACCACGAATGGATTTAAACCAGCCGAAGCCTAGTGCACCACCAATTCATTTATTACAAAATGATTTAGATGACAATACACGTCCACATTATCGTCTACGTCAAATTCAACAATGGAATAATAATAATAATAATAACAACCAAATTGTTTAGAATAGAAAACATAGAATAAAATCCTATTCCTATATATATTTTGTGCAACTTGATCAAATAGTGATCGAATATAACATTTGCTTCTCTAGTCCATTTTATTTCTTTGATATTATATATTGTCCTAATGCAATTTTATTAGTTCACAAAAAAAAAGAAAATAAATCCATGATAATATTGAAAAAAACAATTCTTTTGAACTCTTTTTCTTTTTTGCTTAATTGTCTGTTAAGTATATCGATATGAGAGTTAAGTTGTTGTTATTGTTATTATACTTTGATGATGTGTAGAAATAAGTGTGCCGCTCTTTTGGTTTCAATGAGGGGATTTATCAGACAAACGCATATAGAAAAGAATAATTATTGTTAATTGCGAGTCGTCTCCTCGTTGGTTCACACACTTTTCTTTCTCTCTCTTTCTCTGTTGGAAGTAATATATACATTGATTCAACGTATGGAGAAGAAAACAATTGTTTTCTTCTTTTCACATGATCAGAATGTATATAATCGTTTAGCAACCAAGCAATTCCGCAATCGTACTGACATTCCAAAAACGTAACTTATTTGCTATCGATTATTTGACATAGGAATAAAACAAACACAAAAATATGGATGATTATCATGATCGAAAATCTTTTAATCTTCATGTTTTACGTTCAAAAATTGTCAATTGGAAACAAGGACATGAAGATAATGAACATAGCCAACGTGCTGTAGATTTTCTTATTAAAAAATTAAAAAATTCTGATGGTAAAAATTTTATTATTTGCTTATGTTTTTTTTTTCAATCAAATCTTTTATATTTATTTATTAGGTGTACTTGATTCATTAGCAAATGTTTTATTAAATCCTCATTGTCCAAGTCCATGTATAACAATTCCACCATCAGTTGATAAACGTATACAAATTGTTTATCGAAAAGAATTTCCACATGTTGTTTATTGTCGTTTATGGCGTTTTGCTGATTTACAAAATTATCATGAACTTGTTCCATCATTACAATGTCGATATCCATTTTCACCGGGAAATAATCGAAATCAAAAACTTGTTTGTATTAATCCATATCATTATAATCGAGTACCATCACAAGGTAAATAAAATAGAAAATCGAAATTTGAAGAAGATGCTTTTGTTTTTTGTTTAGTTCTTCCATCGATTATTGAACCAAGAATAAATAATGAAAATACACCACCAACACCACCACCATCTTTATATTCACCTGATCCATGTAAATATATTTGAAATTCTTTTTGTTTTCTTTTAAATAAATGATTATATGTATTGAATATAGATTCTCCTCAATGGGTATATCATCAAGCATTACCATCATGGTGTACAATTAATTATTATGAATATAGTAATAAAGTTGGTGAACAATTTCGTGCATCATCATCACGAATATTTGTCGATGGATATACATCACCGTATAGAAATTTTACAAATCGATTTAGTTTAGGTTTATTAGGAAATGTTAAACGACAAATAGGTGTCGAATTTGTTCGAGCATCAATTGGTAGAGGTAGGTATATAAATACATAATGAACACATGCATCGTTGAATTCTCTATAATAACTATGTAACAAGATTATTTTCACTTGTTCTGATGGATTTCTAGAAAACTAAGGTAAAAGATGTATGAAATGTTGATATGTCCTATTATTATATCGAAAGCAAAAAACAAAATGTATGTGGTAATATATATGTTACATATATCACTGCACGACTGAAGATGTACAGAACTATTCCCAGTCATGATGATTGAGACCCAGGGTACAGGAAAAAAAATTATCGGCACCGAGAACTCAAGGCTGTAGTAAAATATATTATGATTTTAAGCAAATCGTCTTGTAAATCAGAGCATAGTTCAAGAGAGATGACCTTTGCAAATACTTGTTATCGACTAAATATATCAAAACGATGATTATTAAAGAATTATTTTAGATGTGATACGAATAAATTCAGGAATCTTTTTATCTAGACTCGGATCAAGACTGAGGCTAGGACTCTGATAGGGACTGATGGGTAAAAAAATTTATCGAGACCAAAACCAAAACAGCTCGGCTTCACTCAACTCTAGCACAGATAAATCATCGGCTTAATGTTTTTAAAAGGATGTCTCGTGAAATTCTCTACAGTACTTTAAGTAAAAGGTTCTCTCGACTTATCGTAAGGGATTTAGAGAGAACTCAAATGAAAGATGTATAAGGTGCTCTAATTCTTCACACATCGGAATTTGTTTCCTTTTTATATCTAAGCAATAATTGTAATCGGCATGCTATTAATTCTTTCTGACGATTTTCAAACATTAATAGGATCATATTATCCGTATAATCTTATTAAGCAATGAGTTTTTGTACAATGGACTTGATTTAAATTGTAAATTGGTATTTTCTAGAGTGTCTATGTTAGAATGAGAAATTAAAGTACCCTATATATCCTTTCATTTTAGATTTCTCTATCTCTTCAGATCAATTTATAATAAGTCAAAAGAATCTTTTACTTTAACTATTGTAGAGAATTTCATGACATATCTTTTAAAATATTTGCAGGATATCTGGTATATTAATCATTTTGCTTCATCCAATGTTTATATAGAGTTATTAAATTTTAAAAACCTCTTTTTTTTTCCTAGGTATTGAATTACTCGAACATTCTAATGGTGATGTATCAATACGAAATCGTTCATGGTCATGTTCTGTATTTGTCCAATCAATTCTTTATAATCGTTTAAATGGTTTAAATGATTCAACTGTTTATCATTTACAACGTCGTCAATCAATACATTCAATATTTAATTTATCAGTTTTTACTCAATTAACTAATAATCCATCAGCTACATATGAATCAATACTTGATTTAACAAAATTATGTACAATACAAGTTAGTTTTAAATATGGTTGGGGTTATGATTTTGGTCAACGTGAAATAACATCAACACCTTGTTGGTTATCAATTATTATTAATGAACCACTTCGTCTTATTGATGCTCGCTTACAGCAATTACAACCTCAACAAGCAACAACATCTAGTAGTTAATCAAGCTCTCTGTTTCTTGTTGGTTTTTTCTTTTTCTTTGTATTCAAAACTAACGACTAACTGGAACAAAAAAAGGAAAGAAAAAAAAACACATGTTGCTCGCAGCTGTGTACTCGAGATTCTTTTTTTTCTCTTATGATTTACCGCAAAGCGTAGATATTTTTGCCATAGACTATAACGTCGACGACGCGACGAGCTTGTGTTAGAAAGAAAAAAAGAATATATTTTTTTTCCTTTATTCTTGTTTTCGTCAATGTTATAGAGAAAAAAAACAACAAAATTCAATCACCAAGCCAAAAAAAAACTCTAATTAGTTCGATGTCGATTAATCATAATAGGAGGAAAACAAGGAATATATGGATATATAATTTATTTGGCTTTTTTTCTACTTCGCCAAAATCATTAAAAAAAGGTCGCAGTCTTTTCTGGATTGAGCAACATTCATGTTCTAACCTATGTTTTTTTTATAATAACACAATTGATTATGCGAGAAAGCAAAAAAACGAACAGCGAGCATGTAAAGAAGCAAATATGATTAAAACACGAATCGTCCTCATCAGAGGTAGTTCTATCATACTGTGAACGTTATGTTAAGGCAAAATGTTTTTTTCATGATGGAAGAGAGAGAGAGAGCGAGGGAGCGAGCGAAAGAAAAAGAGAAAAATACACAGCTAGCAAGAAAAAAAGAGACAAACAGACAAAAACAACCAAGTAACATATACGAGCAAAAATATTTTCTTTCGTTTCATCGACGGCTAAAACATCAGCCCGGGTGGGAAAGAGAGAGTGAGAGAGAGAGAAAAAAAGGAGGAGTAGGGGTCTCATAGTTGCTGGGTACTGATAATATAAAGGCATCGAGAGAAACAGAAGCTCTCAGCACTGCGACAGAACACAATCAGCAGTGAGTCCTTCTACTATCTCTTCATACAATATAACGACAGTTGCATCTGAAGCTTCATAATCAACATTGCTGCAATATCTATGCTAAATAATAAAGGTTGTGCTTACATATGATTTGATAAGTAAAGATGATTCTCGGATGCCTCGATGTCAATATATGTAAGTAGAGTAAATAATCATATGATGATTTTTATTTCAATATTACATTTCCAAATTTTTTTTTCTTATTTTTCTCATTGATTATTTATGTTAACAAAAAGAAAAAATTAAGAATCTGATTATTATTATTGTTTTTTTTCTCTTCATTAATCCTTTCTTTTTGAAATGATTACTAAATTTGGAATAGTCGACATACATAGAACGAAAACAGCTGATGATACTTTTATCTTTAAGTGCACCTTTTTCGCTTGGTAAATAACTACACAAGCAAATAAAATATGTATGCGTGTGTTTTTTCTTTTCGGTTCTTTATTTCAAAATAATGCTTGTTTGTTAGGTGTTTTGCATACGGTCGTCATCAACATCTTCTCATCTTTCGACTAAACACTTATATTGATTTAATTTATAAAAGCAAAAACACTATTCAACATAAGAGTAAACGTGTGAATGTATGGAATAAAAAGGAACAAATATTTTATCAGCATATTTTTACATTTCTAACAATCAAGAATATTGAAGTAGATATAAAGATTTCTATGAAATAAAAAAGTTTAATCATTTATTATGTCAATTGCAAGAGATTGGTTTGAATATATGAGATTTTTATCTTTATTTATTGCTTTTTATTATAATAGATGTTTGACAATCTTATTGATTAAAGTATAAATTATTGATATAAGAATTTGACTGTCTCACATAATTAGAATAGATGAACTTTGTTTTTCCTATTTTTGAAATAAATAAACAATGTTCATTAAAAATGACAAAGAATTATCCAGTATTAATAAAAATGTATACTTATAACAACGCATAAACTTTCAAATAAGACTAATGACGGAAATGGTAAATATAGATAAAATAATTTGAAAAGAAAAAAGAAATAACGATTTCCAATAGTGTTTTGAATGT